TTTACTCTCACTTTTCTGATCTCTGGTAAGATTCTGACACTACCATTGACATTGAAAGTAAAATACCCAAACCTCCTCTTCGTCAGTATCTGTGTTGAATAAAATGTTACTCTGTTATCTGTTATCTATCAATAGTTAATTATTTCAAATCCAAGAAAAGTAAATTTCTGTATATCAGAGTTTTAGAGAGCAGTGCTGTGTGCTTTTACAAAAAGCAAAAACAGAATGAGTGTCAAGAAAACAGTTTTCCAGACCTAGCTCTGCCCTTGGCTTTGTGATCTTGCAGAAGTCTCGACCTTGAGAGTCTTACATCGTCATTAGCACAAATATGCAATGGGAGCATAAAACCTTGGTGGTACTGACTAGTGGAGCATCAGGGAGCCATGGGGGAAATGACTTTTGTTACCTAAATTGTATTTTTATTTTTATGTTCCAGCCAGTGCAATAGTCTGTCCAGCCGTTGTTATTGATATAGAAAACTTCTTAACCATGCCTATGTGGCTTTTTGAGAAGACAATTAAAGTATTTAATGCACCAGCAGATGCTGTTCAGGCAAAGTTGCAAGTGAAGCAATGCACGGATCAGATGCCCAGAGAAGACATACGCAAAATTAAACACATATTGGTAATTTCTCTCTCCTTTATGCATAGAAGCTTCTGGTCAGCACACCAGCCAGGGGGGAGGTCATTTGGCTATTCCATGGGGGGTCTCACGTAGGGCTCCTACCTTGCTGCTCATCTTTGATCGGGTGACTCAGACCACAGGGTAGAAGATACCAGGACACCTGCTAAATTGAACTCACCTGCTCACAGCTTCCTGGGCATGTTCCTCTCTGGTCACCCCCTCTGGATACGATGTTTCCCAGTATCCTTCGTAGAAGGATAGCTGGGACCCAGTGCAGGGAGGTTGGAAGACCAAGATCTGCTTCCTTTTGTTACCTAGAGCTTTGCTGAAGGTGAGGTCCACTCACTCAGTGGGCACAAGTCCTAAGGAATCTCACAGGAGTCTTGGGGCTAAGGAACAGGGAGACAGAGGGAGAAGACTGGAGCTGGCCTCTATCAGGTGCAGCCCTGTTGGCTAGGGGTGTCTGGCAGCTTCTACAGAGCCAGGAGCCCACTCCCAGCTCCTTTGCCCCATGTTTCTTTCCTGACTTACAACTCCATTACCATTGCCAAGCATAGAGCCCTGTGCTGCATTATATTCTACAGTCCATGGGGTCCTGGAATACCTATATCCTGTCTTCATCAGGAAACCAAATATTTAAAAGGGCCTCTTGGCTTGTCTCTT